ATATAATTTTTGTAATCATGGTGTAGGCATGATTAGGTAGGGTATATATACGTTATAATTCAGTTAAACATTTTTACTTATTTTATTCTTGCTTAGTATAATGGAGTTAAAATTTTATATTCATGTTTGTATTTGTACCTATATTTGTATGTTAATAAATAAATGCATATTGAGTATAATTATATACACATACATTTTTTGTATATATTTTATAGTTTTTAAATTATGTTTTGGTTTTATCGTAATGCATACATAATTTGTATCGGAAGATAAGAAATGTTTAAACAAACTGAACACTTCATAATTTTCTTTTATAATCAAATACATACACAAATTTATTAAAATACTTATATATGTTTGAATGTTTGTATAGTTTTCTGATATCTTTAATTTAAAATAGATGGCGTTACATTGTTTATTTTCAAAATTATTATTAAATTGAATAGTGGATTCCCTACTGATTAAAGTGAGAAAACCTAATTTAAAATGTCATTAATTGATGCACTAAGATTGAATATATTTAAATGTTTATATATAGTATGTATACATATATAAGTGCACAACGAAATTTAGGTTTGTCAGTTTGTCTGCTACATATTGTTTATTAAATAGAATGTGTGTATGTTAAATATAGAAGGCGGGTTAAGCTAGTCAAGTGCATCATAAAATTTTATTACCACAAATTCTATATTTTATAGTTGCAATCTTTTTTTTAAAAAAAAAAAAAGAAGAAAAATTTGTATCTGGTGATTTTAGATGTGAGGTGTTGTGTTGTTATAATTTAAATGTGCATCATTACATTATGATAATTTGACGATGGCTGCAGTTATTTTATAATTTGGGCCGCGATATCAAAATTGAATTATTATGTTTATTTTTATTCTTGTTCCAATTTAGATTTTTATTTCTATTTAATTATGTATATATGTGAATTGATTAAAATATTAGCGTTCTATAATTTAATTTTAAGTAAAAAATTAATTTTAATTAATTTATGGATTTTTTTTTCTTAATTTACTTTATGAATATTTGGTTGTGAAAGTGATTTTTAGTAAATATACTGGAGTATAATAAACAAGTCCAGAGCATTTTATAAAAATATACTTGCACTCTTATAAGAACCATATTTTATTACTTTTTTCATGATTTGTAAAAATTTGTTATGAAATTTTCAAGATTATCAGATTTGTTTTCATCAGAGAGATTAAGAAAATGTTTAAATTTTTGATTAATTCAGTGAGAAGACGATTGATGTAACCGTTGGAGAGAAATATAATTTAGATGATATTGATTGCTGTAACTTTATAATTAAAGTTTTATAGAGAATGCTTTTTATAGAAACATACCAGCAATGAATATATTGTAAAATAAACAATAACCGTACACTGCAAATTCGACTAAGATAAGTCAGTTAAATGTTAATATTCATTGATGAATGCAACTCTAATTTAGATCGTTGACGATCACAAGCTCGTTTTAAAACTAACAGAAGGGCGCATGTAGTTGTAGAAACGGTTAAGAAATCATAATACTACACAATGAGTATTAAAAAATATTCAATGTAACAGAATGAGTTAAATTCTGCTGGTGGGGAAGCTGTTTGTGGATAACGCAAAAATCCAAAAAATAGCTCGAGATATGTCGAAGACATAGTTTTGAATTTAGTTGTACTTTCTATAAATGCTCACTTTAAAAAAAAGAAAAAGTATTGTATTGTTATTGTATTGTTATATTTTAAGTATCTATTTATTTTTTAATTTAATGTTATGTTTTATAATTAATATTGGTATTTTAATTTATTTTAATTAAATCTGAAAATATTTGGAAATGAATTTGGATAAAAAACGATTTTAATTAAAAAAAAATTGATCTCGTTTTAGATAAATGTAATTTTGAATAAATTTTATTAAAAGTAAATTTCATTTTTGAAATAATTTTCTGAATTCAATTCCAAATAAAATACATGCATATTAAACCTGTATATACAAATGTATTCTAAGTATGTCAACATATTCAAGTTAAGTGTATTCCAATTAAAATTTGTTATAATGTGCAGAGAGAAAATAAAAAAATTTTAACCACCCAATAGTCACAATTATATAAGGTTATTGTGGCAAACCTGATAAACGCACTCGTATAATTATATACATGTGTACACATTCGTATAAAATATTAATAATGAAAGTCTACATAAAATGACAATCTTAAATATATTTTTATGGTCGCTACAATTATTCCATAATCATAAAATTTTATAATTATGATTTTAACATCTATTTAAAGGATAATAAAATTTCATCACTTAATAAAAAGAATCAAGTTTCAATAATTAAATAAAATAATAACAAAATACTTTAACATAATAATAACTAAAATTTAATGTGTGATTGCATATACGCACATGACCATATCCCGTACATGTCCAATTAAGCAGGTTAATTTTGTATATAATAAAGGAATTTCTATAGTATGAAATTCTTCGCATTGTATATACGAGTATAAATATATTTGCTATCCTTCTACAAGGCATAATATACGGGTTGCGGACAGCAAATTATACACACATTAAATCTTCTTTAGGAACGCACAATAAAATATGTTTAACCTAAATAATGTGATTTCGATTGTTTAAACAAAAATTATGTATGTATAAATCTTCTACGCCTTCAATTCAGTTAATATTTTTAACAAATTTTAAGTTTATAACCATAACAAACAATGACATGTGTCAAAACATAGCAAATTTTTTTTTTTTGTAATTTTATTTTACGCTTTATTACCGTCTGTCACACAGTACGATTGCAAATCGGCAACTTAAGTCGCTATTTACAAATTCATTTGCTATTGTAATGTAAGTGCAAGTATAAGTATATTATGTATTTGTGCATACAAAGATGAATGTGCATTTCTATTTAAATAAAAAATAACAATATAAAAATTATGTATGAGAGTAGTAATATGATTTTTATATTGGAACGCATTGTATCGCGGTATACCACATTTTGGTTTTTTTTGCATACACATTATTATCCGTATAAATGCTGCAAAAAATTATTAGAATCTTTATTAATATAAAATGTATGTATGTATATGAACATACTTATATATTGGTAATATTTTTAATATAGTTCTTTTTTTCAATACCTTGTCCAATCGTAGAGATCATAACCATATGTTTACTGATATTATGACCATTTCATTCAATGACAATATTATCTATGTTAGCTCGTGTCTTAAAAATATAGTGGTTTATACATCCTTATACGAGTATATAAATTTATCAATAATATAAAAACACTTTATTTATTTATGAGGTATAAAATTCATTTTGAATCATAATTTTACGAATTCGTTGGAAATGCTACACTATTTTGCCAGTTTTTACTTTTAAAATGACAAAGTAAATTTTTCTTTCATGAATCTTTTGTATAATTGTTCTTTCTTAGCACTCTTATGTACATATAGCACCGTCTATTAACTATTTTATTGGAAATAATTATTGCGTTTCATTTACAGGAATAAAAGACTAAGGGGTCATGTAGGGGTAAAAACTACTCTATAATCTTCAATATTGAAGATTATTTTCAATCTATAGAGAGCTGAATCCATTTACATGAGAAGTAAGCGAATCTAATCCGCTCAATTATCAATTTGTATAAACTGATGTAATTGAAAGTGATATACTAGTGGGCTATATGCCTATAAAGGGGACGCTTGATATTTTTATTAACCTATTTTTTTTAAATTTGTGATACATTTTTGATTTACTTAAAAATTATTTCATGAAAAATTATTTCGTTATATTTTGTTTGTATAAGAGTTTAAAAAAGGTAAGCGCCCACATAATATTTCCTTTTTCTGATAAGTTGAATTCACTCAACAATTTTTTTAAAGATTGTCCCCATAGTTTTCATGACCAACTGCCACTTTAATATTGTTATATTATTATATGATTAAGTTTTTCTGTTATTGTATTTGCGTTTTTATATACGATGTTTTGTGTAAGGAAATGTTACTTTGCTTGGTCAAGACTGTTATACAAATCGTCGTAATGTAGTCGTTACGATTAGTTATTACCGAAACCATAACTGATATGATATTAAAAATCAATTTATATGTGATTTATAACATTTATGAAGATTTGATGCTCGAGCATCTAATATGTTGCTCATTGGATTAAGATAAAAACGAAAACCAAATAAAATACATATAAACATATGTACATAGGCATATAAACGATAATAATAGTGTAGAAAGAGTAAAGACTTGTAGTAAATATAGTAAAAAGTCAGATTTAAAAAAAAAAGTAGAAAAAAAGGGTCATAAAATAATGCCGTAATTGAAAATGAAAAATCGCGTAAATAAAAGTTATGTATTAACTTTTTTTTTGTTTTCTCTTTATTTTTTTTAATATTGGTTTTACTATTTGTGGTGAGAAAAGGAGGACATATTTTTGCATAAAATTTCCCATAAAGATGTCATATGGTGGATAATATTTTTGACATATTAAGAGAAAAAAAAGTTTATGTTATGGCTACATAGAATTTGGTTTTTGCTATTTTTTTTTTCATTTTTAACACAAATTTCATATACGAAATATTAAAAGAGAGAGCCTTAAATTTAAATTACATATTATGATTTCTTAATAAAAATATTACGATACAGATTACGTTTTCTGCACACATGCATGAAGCGTTACGGAGACTGAGATACTTCAAACTATGTTGTTAAAGGAATAAATTAAAAAATTTTTATGAAATGTTGAAAATTTATGGAACTTTTAGGAGTAAATAAGTGCAATAAATGTATAGAGGGCAATGTAAATTGTAGAATAATATGCCACTCTTAAGATTTGGATTATATATATTGTAATAGGTTAAGATTTTATAGCATTTTTTCTAATTATTTTATTTAAAATAGAATTTCAATAACATGGTCAAAATTTTTCCAAAAGTCTAGTTCGCTATAACTAAAATTAAATTTAATGAATTGAAAAACAGATTGATTTAAAAAAAGAAATTGAGTATATCAATGCAAGCCACAATAAAATTAATTATTTAATAAGCACTAAATAAAAATTCTTAAGAATAAAAATCTTTAATCATTAGCAACGATTGATAAAACGAAATTCACATAAGATTAAATTAAATAAATGATTCAATATGCTGCATTTCCAGGATATTTATTTTTATTTAACGATTCTATTAGTTTGGGTAAGAATATATTCTATTCTTTAAAAAAATTAAATCAAAAAAGAAAACTTTTTCTAAATTTATTAATAATTAAATACTACAATTTAATTTATTTTATTACAGGCAGTTCATTCAAGTGGATCTATAAGAAGTGTTACAACAAATGATAGTCCATTTCAATGCGGTTCAGTATTATGTCGTCCAATTTTCGAGACGTTTAAAAAAAAACATATACCACATGGTTTTCTTTATTTAACAACAATTTCTGCAGGCGCATCAAATATTTCTGTTATGCAAATGGATCACAGTAAAAATTTATTAGGTATTTTAAAAGAATTATTATATGCGATAATTAAAAATCAACAATATTTCTATATATTTTGTTTTTTAGTACTGAAATCAACAGAAGATCATCATTTTATTTTAAATGGTAATGATGATCCATCAGCAAATGGAATTTATAAATATCATGGAAATTTATTTGAATATAGAAGAGGAGATGATTATGAATTGATACAAGCAACTGGGCCAATTTCCAAAGCAATTGATTTAATGGTATATGCTACTAGTATTTTATGCAAATTAATTTTTTCTATAATAAAATATATAATTTTCACATTTTTTTTTTCAGATAAATGTGAAAGGTCCAAATCCTGGAATACAATATGAATATTTTCTTCCGGTAGCATCTGGTTCAGTATCTGGTGATGATGAAGCTGCAACAAGTTGGAATGAACAAGGTTCTCCATTAGACTATTCTGATGAAGCAAAATCGGATGATTCAACAAGTGCTTCTCCAGTTGATCGTAAACGGAAAAAATTTATGTGGAAATTAATTGGATTTGGTCCATGTTCAAAAACCTGCGGTGGTGGTCTTCAACCACCAATTTTCCGTTGTATACGGGATTCACCAACAAGATTTTATTCGCCACGACGTTGTATGCATATGGAGAAACCGACTTTTAATGAAATTATTTATAAATGTAATACTCAACCTTGCCCAGCTTATTGGCATACTGAAGAATGGGATGATTGTCTTTGCCGTTTGGGTAAAGGTGTTCATTCACGTGAAGTAAAATGTGTCCAGGAATTACATGGCGGAGTTGCAATACAAGTAGACGATGAAGCATGTGTAGCAGACGATAAACCATCATCAAAAGAATACTGCTCGTGTCCAAAACGTAAAATTACCGCTAGATCAAATAAGCCAAGTATTTATGAACATTTACATGGTGTAACAAATACAATTCAATTAAATCCAAATCATTATAATAATTCGATACATTCAACAACAATAAATAAATTGAAACGGGGAACACAAAAAAAATTTCGTGATGATCCAAATGATAGATCTGGTATGTGGTTAATGTCCGATTGGAATCAAAAATGTTCAGCTGATTGTAGTTATGCTGATGGAATTGATGGTTTTGAACATCGTTCAATATTTTGTGATCGTACACCACCATATACTGAACGTTGTGATTTACGTACAACACCAGATACCAGTAGACCATGTCAAAATCAAGAAATATGTTCATATGGTAATTGGTATACTGGAAAATGGAGTAAATGTCATGGTGATTGTTTTAATTTAATGCGAAGAAGAGGTGTATTATGTATTAAAAATAATGGAATTGTTGATGATGAGGAATGTGAATATGATAAAAGACCATTAGATCGTGAACCATGTCAAATTAATGATGTTGATTATTGTAATGCAAAATGGCATTATTCTGAATGGACAGAGGTAAGAGATATCATATTTGTGTAAACTTCATAACATATTTTAAATTAAAATGATTAAAATCATTACAATTAAACTGAATTAAACTGAAAAAAATTAAACGCTGCTATTGAAATAGAAATTTTTATATTGTAAATGGAAAAAATATTAGTAGAAAATTGGAGTGATGACTTCGGTTTAGAATTACAATAGATATAAAATTAATTGTTATATTTTTTTTTGTAATAGTAAAAAAAATTAAATGGTGATAATTTAACATATAAATATAATTAAAATATTTTTGTTTTTTATTTATTTACAGTGTTCACACCCTTGTGGTGGTGGATCGCAAAAGCGTTTTGTAAAATGTTTAGAAATCGATCAAAAAGAAAATATTTTACGTGAATCACATAAATGTAGATACTCTGATAGAGAGCCAGTTGTAAGCACCTGTAATAATCAAAAATGTTATAAAGGTAATTTTAGAATTTTTAATTACTTTGGGTTGTTCACCAAATTTATTACACAAATTTTTATAGTTTTTGTTTATATAGTTTAAATTAAAAAAAATTTTATAGCATAGAAATATTGCTTGCATAGAAATTGTATATTGAATTTCAAATAGAAAATAGATAAAAATTTTACTTTATTAATAATTTCTTCAATAAACGATTTCATATTCAATATAATTTGACATTTAATGTACAGTGAACAACTGAATATAATTTATTTGTAACAAAATTTTTCAATCAATTAATTATCATATTATCAATTAAAATTTATCAATCAATTAATTAACATATTAGTCATCAAAACTCATAATATACTTTTGTTTTTGCTTTTTTTTTAGAAAATGAGGAACAAAATAATATAAATGATGATACAAATTCCCAAACAAATGAATTAACAGCATCCGAATGTACAGATATATTTCCAAATTGTCATTTAATAGCAAATCGTGAAAAATATTGTACATTAAATTATTATAAAAAATATTGTTGTAAATCATGTGAATCCTTTAATAATTATGTTTGAATAATAATAATAACAATAATAAAATTTAACTTGTAAAAAATTAATATGCAAAAATTAAAATTGTAATTTGTAATTATAAAATCAAAATTTTCTCTCGAAATTAATAACTAACATTAAATTAAGAAATCTAAAGATTAATTTATTTGAAAAAAAGATGGAAAATAAATATTGTTTTTAAATAAATATAAAAATGAAAAAGTTGAAAATTTATTTTTTTGAATTATTATATAAAATCAATAAAATTTTCAGTAACACATCGTTTAATTAAAATTTAATTTAATTACATTTTATAATCGTTTAATAAGTTAGTATATAAAATAAAAAATAGAATTTTATTTTTCTTAAATTTTTAAAGAAATTTCACAAATTTCCAAAATATTTTTTAATACAAATAATTCTGAGGTTATGAAATTTAATTATTCAAATTTAATTTATTAATTTAATAAAACTCTAATAATTAAATAAAAAGATAATAAATAGTACACAAAACAATGGTCAGCTCATGTTAGTGCTTGAATAATAATAGTATATAATACTTTTCTTAACTGAATACTAAATTAAAGAAAAGCATTTGATCGAAGTAAGTAAAATACATTGAAGTTTCATGGCAAATTTAAACAAGTTTTAATTTTTGTGCATATTATATAATAATCACATCTATAATTAAATATAAATAAAAAATATTATAAATGTAATGAATGAAGACATTATTAAGTTTTTATATCAAAACCTTTTGCACACAATTTTATGATGCGCAAGGATAGACAGGTATTATAACTGATAGATATAATGTGTAACTTTTGGCATGTGTCATTTTTTTTTTGCGTTATTGAACTATTACGTTGTAGTTACATAATTTGAAAAGTCAATCAAAAGTATTAAATTAAAAGAGTATATTTGAAAGAGTATTTACTTGGTACGCAATAAAAATGAAGAAAATAAAGTAATTAAAAGATGCCATAATTACTGAATTCTTTTGATATAATATCTTTGTTGCACAATATTGTATATATGTACGTAAATACTGTTATACTAACGTGTTGATATTATATTTCATTTTAAGATATCCATAAAAGTTAATAAATTGTATTTATATATATATAAAATTTTTAAAAATTCGCACATAACACTATTTTACGTTGAGAACTATTAAGCTGAGGTTTATATTTAAATTGATATTGCAATTCAAATGAAATTTCATTTCATATCATTCAGATTATTGTTTGAAATAAATTTTCTTAGGTAATAGAAAGAAAGCGGAAACAATGATTTCAAACAGATTGCAGTCATTAAAACAGTTTGTTAATTTTCATTAGAAAAACAAAACATAAATTGTAAATTCATTGTGTTAACCAAAACTTAGTTACACAGAGACTCTTTTAATGGCTCTTTTATTGGTGGAACTATAGTAAATGTGTTCATGTTTATTTCTCATGTATTTTGTCAAGGAATATAATTTTATGATCATGAAGTCTGATAACAAGAATGTGAATTTACTTAATTTGCACAAAATGCATGTACAACATTTAACTGTTTCAATTCTTCTTTTCAAGATATACGAGTACAATAATTGTTAATTGATAAATTAAGGTTGTTAACGTAAAAATTCTTTAATTAATTTAAGTTTTATTATATTAAATTTTCAAAACAGTTTGGTGCGTATTATGATACGTAATTTAAAAATTAATCTTGCCTTTCAAAAATTATTATTATTAGATTTTCTTTCATCATTTAATTTTTTTTTTATTTTAACATTCAATAAAGATTGACCCATTGTTTAAAAGTTTTTTTTTGTTCTTTGCTTTTTGATTTTTTAATGAAAAGATCAAAATTTAATCGTTTTCTAACAATCAATAATTTTTTATTTGTTTTTTTAACTTTCTTTCTTGTTTCTTTTTTTTATTTTATTTCTTATGAATCGCGCAAATCTTATAGCTCATTCGCACAAAAATTTTTCATTCAATTTTATATTATTATATTCCTCATTTATAAATTATATTTTGCTAACATTGTGTAAACATAAAATTATTTTCTAGACTTATATTCAATATTCATGCATATTCCAATTATACTATGAAAAAGAAAAAAAAAATATGAGGAAGTATCGCGATATTCAACTGTTTTGTTCTTCGACAGTTATTGTCCATATACATAGATGTATTTACTAAGATAATTTATGAAATTAGAACTATAATCTTTTTTCTTCCTTATATTAATCTGTTTAACAACTTTCTATTATTTAATAGCTTTCGTTATTACATTATTATTGACCCTTTTTTCTTCATTCTTTAGCTAAAAAATCAACTATATTTATATTATATGCATATATCGTAAACGATCCATGTTATGATTTAATTCAATTGATCTGTTGAAGATGAGACAACGTTGAAATGCAATGTAATGACCCATTTAAATTAACATTAATAAACAATACTTAACCCTTATAGAGATTGCAATTAAATGATTACCCCTTGTTAGTAATTTATTTTATATTTATTTATGATATAAGAGGAATTCTTCAATAATATTCTTTCAATAAAAACTCTTAATATACATTACTCTATAATTTTATTTTTATTGATTTCTGAGTTTATTTCTTATTTTGATTAATTTTTAATAGAAGATAAAATCTTTATGAATGAAAGTTGATAATTTGTAATCTTTATTTTATGATGATAGAAAATTATTTTTGTATGATGATACAATTATTCAAGTATGTTAAATTTTACAATTTTATTTTTAATTTAGATCATTTACTGAAAGTGAAGTATTTTGGTGAATGTAAGTAGCTACCATGGTAGGCTTACTTTAGATAAATTATTGAAATATCCAGGAAATTGATTTGGATGATTAATTTAGTTGTATATACATCCATTTTACTATGTATTTCTATACATACATAAGATAAAGGTAAGTTTATTATTACATAAAAAATCTTAATTAATTATATTATATTTTCACATTGGATACTTAATACTTACCATAAGGAAAATTAAATTTTGTAATAAAAATAAGAAATATTTTTATTACAAAATTTAATATTAAAAACTGCATCAGCTTGCAATTTTTACATCATAGGTACAATTAGTATCTTATAAAATACAATCCAAATAACAGCGATGAACTGGATATTGAAAAATTGTATGAGCTTATTTAAAAAGTATTTATGGATTTTTAAACTAAATTTTTTTAAATTACCTTGTAAGTTTGAAGCCATTCCAACTAAATTTATCCGTTGCAATAATATTTTGAAATTGTCATTTATATTGAAAATAGTTTTCATTCTTATAGTAGGTTTCAAGCAAAAAATTATTAAAAAATTCAAGCATTAAAAATTACTAAAAAATAGAAAACATTACTACATTTTATGCATTAATACATTTTTTACACATTTTTCAAACAATAAATAAATTGTTTGAAAAATGTCTTAAAAAAGATCACATAAATTTAGGCGTAATGTTGCTATACAAAAATTTTGTTTTTGAAAATAAATTTTGTTTGATTCCAATTCATACTTATTTGTTTTTTTTCATACATACTATTAAAAATTTAATTTGAACAGTATTTAATACGAACAAAGCGACCATCCATGTTATTTATTTTTGGAGGAACAATTAATTTCTTTAAAAAAATTTTCATCAATTCAATGATAATATTTCCATTAATAATACAAGCATATACATTCATAGACACTTAAAATATGGCTAATTTAACATATTGTTTACTTATTTTTGTATAATATTTTATTTTTAAAAAATTAACTTAAAAAAATAAAATACCAAAATACCATTATAGTTAAAAAAAATATTAGAAGGTGTAAAATGTTAAAAAATTTATTGAACTTAAAATAACTTTATTGAACTTTCCATAAATAAAAATTATTTTAATTCTGCCCATCTGTCATTTTATAAAAAATGGTCACCGTAAAACAGATTTACTGTTGAATCAAACATAATTTTTTCTTTAATTTTTATTTTTTGTTTTTTTAATTCAATTTGTGAACAAATTCAAAATTATTATAGAGTTCATGTGCACAATTATACAGCTGATCAGTTCGATCACTGTTCTATGTAACCACTTGTTTGAATGTTTTATTTATTCTTCATGTTTATATATTCATTCATTCATTCAAAAAACATGAAAAAGAGAAAAGTGAAGAGCAAAATTTACACAAACAGCGAAACATTAATTTTATTTTTTTTTTTTGTTTTTACTTTTCTTCGACTTCGGTGCCCTTAATATAACATAGTTTTTTTTCTATATGTTAGTACGTCTTCAATATGAAGAAATTTTTTCTTCGTTTTTTCGGGGTGATTTACTTGTACTTGTATAATAACATATTTGAAATTGGCGAAATAAATATCAAAAAGAAAATGTTAAAAAAAAAAACTGTTAACTATTTGAATCAAACAAATCTATTGATGATTGATTCATAAATAGGTATAAAATGTTGAAAGCAACAAAGTCACGGTAATTGAACACAAAATGTGCGCTTTAACATTATTTTATTGCTATCGGTCAGTTTCAGTTTTACATTTCTTTCATTCTTTCTTTCTTCCTTCTTTTATATTTTTGTTTTGTTTTTTTTTTTCCGAAGCTTAGTTAGAAGCGTTTTCATTTTACTTTTTTAGGCATCTTTTGTTTTATTTTTTTTTCATGTGATTTTTATTTTTCTTGTTTTCTCGATTTGAAAATTTAAGTTTGAGTTTTTCTTTTTTTATTTTTATTTTGTGTTTTTATACTGTAGAGAAATTATAGAAAAAATTTCAACAGAATATTTCGGACTTTTTAGCTGTACAGACGGGAACCTATTCACTTAAAAAAAAAAAAAATATTTTAAATATATTTTACAAAACGGATTAAAATTTTATGCTGCACATATGAAAAACGGTGCCTTATAATGGTTTATATTACTTAATGATGGTTATTGAAGATAATAAAAAAAAATTTATGTACAAAAACTTTTGGTGCTTAAGTGTTATTATTTTTTTTTTTTTAATTTAATTTAATGTTTTTAATTTGATTTTTTTTATATATGAAATTAACTGGGAATTAATAAATATTGGAAATTGACAAAATTTAATAATATCATCATTTATTATTTTTATTAATTTA